GAACTGCCCACACAGAAATAAGGTCCAAGTTGAACTTGGCGGCAAGGGAAAAGCTAAGGTGACGGAAATCCTCCTCACCATCTCCCTAAAAGAATGGTTTTGTGCAGTTACTACGACTTTCCCACAAAGCATCTTGTGCCTCGGAACAATGTAATGTTCATGGAGGACGTACAGACRGAATCTTGGGACCATATTCTAAAATCCTGGACTGACTTTTGTAATCCAAGAACTCCACGGGAAGAGGATGTACAGAARTACCCAGGGAAGGGTGAGGATGGGTCCTCATACTTCCCTATGTCACTCGCAAGTGGAAAATTAAGAAGACAGCACAGAGATGGATGACCCTGGAGTGCCAAACTCATGGTTTCTGGTCAGATTTAAGGAGTTTCTCCCCTTGGTTCCATGACAATTCCATGTGGAAAACATTTTAATATATATTTTAGAGAACCATCATTTCTAAGAATCGATTGAAGAAAAAGTTCTGTTCATCATTTACTTAAGAGACCCTAGCTAAACACCAAAACAGCGTAGTGGAGTAAAACAAATGGACTTTCTCAGTCAAATTCCTTACACAAACCATGAGTGGCATTTGGTTTACTTCTCTAGTTAGTGATGCCCATGAACAGGCTTTGTATTCTTTTACGGACCAGTCCTCACTCCCTATATGTAGGCCATGAAGACTTTCAGACTCCAGAAGGGATGCTCTGATCCACCAAACCAAAAACACTTCTTGTCTTGTTTCCAAAAGGAATCCAATCCTTAATATCCCTACCGTGTTTTTCTGAAGGCCGTTGAATACATCAATCCTTCCGTTTGAAGTTTATTCTCCTCCCTAACAAGCACAAGGACATGTCTTCATATTTAAAATGACTTTATTGTATCTTTGAAAGTAGCAAGCCTTCATTCTCTTGTGGATATGTTGCCTTTCAACCCTCTTGGGTTTCCTTCTTCACATCAAAGGCAGTTAATTTTCCCTCTCCAAAAGCTCTACAGTAGAAATCTCCAGCTTAGCATTAACCATCAGTTAGCAAAATATGAAGCATGTCTACAGATGAACATGTATGATGTTCCAAGTATACAGTGTACATGCATGTGTGGGTGCACAGACATTTAAACAAACACACATAGTAACACAGTTTATAGAAAATGAATAGTTTAAATAATTAAAATGTAGTTATCCATATTCTAGTATACAGGTACACAAAAATTTAAATATGTGCTTTTATACATGCATTCAGATGTTACATTCATGTTAAAAATCTGTAAAATCTACCTTCACTTTTAACTTTTACATCTGTAAGATTTCTGACAGTATTATGGCTCCTTCCTATGGTTGAAAACATTTAAGGAATATATTTTCCTCTATAGTAAATGCCCTGAAATAGGATCTGATCATCCTTTTCATTGAAATAGATCAGGTCTTTCCTTCTAAATACTTTAGTATTTAAACATTTGGAAGGGAAGCAATTGTATCAGAGAAATCAACCGCCAATTTTACGTGCAGCAAACCCTGGCTTCTCTTTACAAGTAAGAATCTCTTTCCTTCAAGTTGCTCAAAATCCCAGAAGAGCCATGTAGGAGCTTTAAATTTTGCAATGCGTCGCCTCCCAGGCCAATCCTAGAGTATTATGGTCACTATTTTATCATGTAAGAACAACATTTAACAGAATAGGATGCAACAGCAGTAGCCGGCTGTGAACAACCTATTTACATATTGTGCACTAAGTCTGAAAGCAATAGTTAACAGTTAACARAGACTACTTCTGGGTGGTGGGTTTCAGGTAACTTCTGCTTCTCTGCTTCTCCCATGTATCTCTATAAAACATCCCTCCTGTTATTTGTAAAATAAACCTATTGAATAAAAAAAAGAAATCTATTCCTAGAATGATTCCACAAACATAGAAATACACAATGAATCCATTTATAAAACATGTACACCAAGGAACAGATCTACCGGAATCCACTGTGAATCAGACAAAAATAGTGTCCATTGGTGGCTTAGTCAGTGAAAAACCTTTTGGCCTCCAGGGCCTGTATTAAGACACATTGGGGACAGTAAAGATAGAATAGGGCAACACTTATGCAAAAGTCAAGAAAAATAATCTGTGCACAACCCATCAGAACTGCCTGGTCTCAGGATGGACTTATCTGGACCACACACTCCTTATCCATATAAAGGTAACAGAAGATGTGCCACTCTGCATGGAATCTGCTCCCAGGCAAAACCTTGCTGTGGGACACTGAATGATCTTTTATATTACCTTATAATTCTGAATCATGCAAATTCTTAGCTACCCTAGTGGAAATGAGAGCAGAAATTACCCGACTTGCCCAAAAAAGGCTCCACAGGACTAAGAAATCTAAAATACCACACTCAAGTGTGTTCCAGCATATTTCCAGTTCCTCTCTTTGTATAGACAGTGTATGAAACACAGAAGTTAAAGGCTAACATTTAGGGGATTAGGAGTGCAACATCTACCTGCAGACCAGGCTCTTAAGGAAAACCTCACATCACAGACTGAATCTCTCTCCTACTGTGGGAATAGGGGGTGCTAACAGTGTATAATAATGCTTTATTCTTACTTAGCATAAAAATCTCAGTCCCTAGGTGAGATGATCTTATTACAGGCTTACTGTGTGGACACATGAATATAATCACTTTTCACATGCTAACCCTCACACACCCCACCATGATATTTCCAACAGCACAGAGTTAGTAGGATGTATGTGGACAACTTCCCAGACCCCCTCCCAAAGGAAGTGCCATACTCAGCTCTTAGTGCCTCTATATTCTCGGGCTGCAGGTGGCCATCTGAAAGAAGCCTCTCCACACCTATCTACCAGACCTGCACCGAGTGATTTGCTTCAATCTGGACAAACCCCACACTTACAGCCATAAATGCATTGGCACTGAGAAAGGCTGTTGAGGATGTGGCACTCCAGGTGTGGCTTTATCTGTCACTTCACCGGTTCAGCTATTTAGGCCTAGTCTTCTCCATTGGCTTGAAGCTCTGTTCACACCATCTTGGGTAACACATCACATTATTCTTCCTTATAAAAACAAACAAACTCAAATGAGCATTCAGAGTCAGTTCACCCCTCCGAACATCTCTGTCTTCCCCTCTTGATTTATGAGTCATGGTTTCCATCCCACCCCAGAAAGCTTCCCATATAAACCACATATAAACCAAGTCTCTCAACTGAGGGTTGGCCAAATGCTTTCCTCCACTCCTCAGGCTGCCCACTTTCCTCACCTCTGCAGATGTGCACAGCCCCAGGATCTCAGCCTGCTGGCCACCACTGAGTCACCAGGAGCACAGCACTGCAGTACCTAGCACTACCCACATCAACTACCACCGCGACTCAAGTCACTGCAATCTGCGCTTCCCACCCTACGGGAAAATTCAGCTGCCCTATGAAAGCTGGACCMAAAAGAAAAACAAATGTTTTCATACTTATAATGGCTCCCCTCTGAACCAGTGCGTCTGAAATTTATACAGTTCTAGAGAACAAGGAGCTGGATACATTAGTTCCTAGCCGACTCTCTGCTCATAACAGCTGTTCACACAGGCATTTCTGAAATAAGTCCAATCCACTTCAGTGCAATACACTGTCCAAGTTTAAAATCCATGGTCAAAAATAAAACTTACGATTCAATAAGGCATCACATGTTTCATAACTGAGTGTGGAGACAGGGTGTAAGAAATAATCAGGCCTCCTGCATAACCCAGTCAGGGAAGCTGGTTAACTGAACTCCGATRGTTGCTTCTGCCATTCCCCCACCCCACCTGCAAGTGTGGGCCTTCTTGATTTCAGCCACCAATGTTTCAGACGACAGTCCCTTGAAATAAACTGACAGTCTGATCATTTACAAGAACATTGGACAACATGCAGACAGACTTTGCGGAAACAGAGTTAGAGTTAGAGCTGACACAGACAGGAAGGAAAAATGGAATGCCTTATCAGAACTAGGATTTCTGTCTTCCTTGGGTTGCACACCTCATTTGAAACATACGTCTGCACTGACATATACCATAGGTTTTTGTTGTTGTGTTATAATCTGTTTATTGGGTGGTTTAGTCAGAGAACCTTATATAACACATTCTGGTTTTGAATGTAGCAACATGCATGGCATTGCACTCATATAAAATTCAGACCATCCACAGCATGTCCCACTAGCCACCCAGAGTCAATCTACCTTGCAAGGTTTCTATGTAACTGATAAAAACAGGTACTACCACCACCAGCAATAGTAAGAAGAAAAAAAAAGATTCAGCAATCAGCTTTACCCTATATTCAAAAGCTAGCATCTCATGGTATGGTTTTAGGGAACTCAGAAAACCATTTCATCCTGATTTTAATATTACATGAGCCTGACCTATGAGGAGAAAACAGTCCAGTTTATTAAGCCCAAACACAYGTGAGCCGACTTCAGTCTTCCAGGGTAGAGTATGGAAACACTGCCTACTGCCTCTGCACTAGGGTGCTGTGTGACTACAACCCTTGCATCTGATTTCCTTAACAAAGAAGCAGTAGATCTGCACTGCTTGTTTGGCCAGAAAGAACATAATAATACAGCTACAGCTTAGTAACTTCCATTCATGCTAGCTCAACAAACAATGTGTATTATATAATGAATGAGTCTTTTCTATGAACCCTGCTATTGGAAAACACAGGCACTTTCTGCATAGTTTAAAGCAGTCTACGAGGAACAGCTACCCCTTGCGARATCAAACGTGGACCAGGTAACAGAAATACAAACAGCCTACACTCTAAGATGCCTTTGCTATCACTCTAATTTCCTTTTTGCTTGACAGTACATAATTTCAGTTAACTGCAAACTACACAGAGAACATTTACAAAGCAGCCAGCAAGCACCCGAATGATGTTGGCTTTCAGCTCCATGTTCCCTGCGTTGCCTAAGAAATGGGGGGCGGGGGGGGGGGGGGGGGAGGAGGAAGAGGAGGGGAGAGGGAATCAGCTATCTATGAAATACTTACAGCCTCCGAGTCTTCAATTCCATGCAGGTACAAATTGTCATACATGGAGGTCTGATAATCCAGAGCACCTCTCTTAAGGCAAAAACAAAACTGCTGCAGAAACCACAGCTAGAGCTAAAAGAGAAAAGGCCTGTTTGGAAGAGCTGTGCCTGCCTTATCAATTCCTGTGGATTTGCCAGGCAAGATGCTATTCATTCACATCACACAGGGTGAGGTTATCCCCAGAGGCAGTCCAGACCTGGCATTTTTATCTGCCTTCCCAATACAGAGCATAAAAAGCAAAACCCTTCCTTAACCACAGACTGGTGACTGAGCTAGGAAAGCGGCCTCTGATTGGCTCGGCTCCCCTGCTTCAGTCAGCTGAAGAGCGTTCCCTGGGAGAGTGGAGGGTGACTCGGAGCATCCTACCCAGCAAAGAGCTGCTTCCTGTTTCGCCTGTATTGTTAGTTCTACAATAAACAACTTATCCATATCCAAAAGGCTGTTTGTAATGTTTAGAAAGGCAGACTACTGAATACTCTAAACACAACCACTCATCTTCTTGATTAAATTCACCATTGGAGGGCAGAGGGCAACGGAGTGATTTTATTTTGGGAGAATACTGTGTAAAGACGGGCAAACAGTTAATAATCTCTGACCAACATCTGAATTTAACAGATGTGATTTAAGTCAAAAGTGCCAAAGGTCATCAGAATTTTTTTAAAAACCTAGTGAAGAAAAAATGAATAGGGTAAACAGATGGTAAGATTTCTTGTGGGAATTTCTATAGTAAAAGTTTTCAATATTCTCACTGAAGTCTCTCTGCCTCCCTGGCAAGAAAATAACTCTGTGTTACAACTAGCAAACTTTTAAAAAGAAGCCCCAAATCTCTCAACTTTTAGATGCAAAATTGTTGAATGTCTCTTGAATTTGTTTAGCAACCTTTAGATAACAGTCAAAGTTTTTGCTTAAATCCTTCATTCACTTTCCCATACATAAATCTTTAAGAGCCCTAAAGTAACATTGATCTTTTCTCCCAACTATAACAAAAAAGTCCCACCCCCTGCTCCTTCCACACCATAACTCAGKTTGACTGAAGCCAGGTCCCATGTTGGGGTCACATGATACGAAGCTTCCCTAGATACTTATAGCTTTCTGGTCAACCAATAACAACCTCAGAACTCACTCTAAAAAAGTAGCTAAATTTGGAGAGAAAAAAAATAAGAAGTTGGTGAAGGGCAAAAAACATAATCTGAAGAAGCTGCATGAATTACTGGGGTAAGAAATGACCTAGAAACTTAGAGCCTCTGAGTCCAATATGGGCTTCTTCATTAACCAGTCACATGACTCTGGACCAGTCACCATCTCAATGGGCTTTCCTTCACCTGCAAAACTGGGGTAAGAAATAACTCAAAGAACTTTGAAAATCTAAAGTGCAACATAAACACTTGTCAATGACAACCCTGCTTTGTCAGCTGAAGGCACTGGCTGCAGTTCATGGGAGCTCAGCATAGGAGAGACTGGCTGGCCCTGGACCTAGGAAATGAGGCCGGTCCTTCTAGCCAGTGGCTCTAAAAAGTGTAAGCCGTAGAGGAATAAACCTGAGTCAAAAAACCAACACAAGACCAACACTGAGAAAAGCACGTTCTTCGGGGTCTGAGCTGACCCGCTAACATCTTTCAATCACAGTTGCACACCTTGAAAACAATATCAAGCCACTTTCAAATATAAAAGATGGTGGTGGTGGTGGGGGGGGGAATCAGCTCTGCTCCAGAATCCCAAAATGGTAGAGTACACCCAGGATGTCATCTTTAATGCTGTGCTTGCACAGAGGGAGGACAGCAGAAGAGGGTGAGTGAAATCAACAGGCGCTACCTGTTGACAACTGTGTGTGTTAGAACAAAACCCTGCCCAGGTGAAATTTTAGCTTCTCTTACCCCCATACAAAGAGAGGGCTGGGTCAAAGGATTTGTGAGCTCAAATTCATATATCAGATTCTGTTATTTTAATTAACTCTCTAATTACAGACATACAAAGTTTTAGCCAGAATCTATAGAAACTTGAGATTAGAAGGTCTTTTTTTCTCCTTAAGTTCTCCAGATCATTTCCTTACTTTACCACTTCAATTGTGAGTATAGATATTTCCTAATTATTTTTAAATGGGAATCAATTAAAGAGAGAAGAAAGAGGCAGTCCACTGTCATCATTCACCAAGATGAGAGAAATTGTACCTGGTGGGAAAATTGTGCATGGCTCAACTCCTTTCCAGCGTTTGGCTGCCTTGGAGGGCTCCCTGGTTAATGCAAGGGTAGAAAGGAAGTTCTTAAAGAGTAGGGCCTGTCTTAGGATATACTAATACACACAGACAGTGAGTCTGATTCAGGGTAGGATGTTAGCAGGGAGGTACCAGATCAAACACAGCAGCTGAGGTTACTCCTTGCAAACCTATACCCAGCTCCTCAAGAACAAGAACTGATGTGTAGCAGGAGCAATCTGTCTCTGACCACTTCCCAGGAACACAGAAAAATGCTGGGCTCAGAAACACAAACTCTTAGAGAACCAGAGAAGTCACCTCATCCAGCCCTTTTCATACCCAGAAAGAGTCAGCTCAGTGGTGGAGTACTTGTCTAGCGTGCATGAGACCCTGGGTTCCAATTCCAGCGGTAGAAAAACAACGTAGAAGGAATAATAATAATAATAATAATAAAGCCATACCTTTTATACAACTTGAATGTTCCTTCCCCATTTCCTTCTTGCTGTAGCTTTCAAGATAAGGGAGGAGGGAGAGAGGGCATATTCCCCAGAGGAATTTGGTGGCATATAGAAAGGTGACCTTGGTGGTGGTAGAGGGGGGAGACCCTGTTCCTTCCCATTCCTTTCATTCCCAAAACTGTCTAATCAAAAATCATTTGGTCGCACTTGCAGACAGCTAAAAATTAAACAACACATTGAGAAGTCTGCCCCTAAGGTCTGGATCTATACAGAGTGAGCATCAGACCTACAGATCACCTTAAGGTTTAACCCAATGCTCAGGCTGATGCTAGAGCCCAGAGGAATCCCAGTGAGTAACAGTTCTGGGTCTCCCCAAAGGAACTTGGAGGAGTTCCCGGGGAAGTGAACTCAGAACTCTGGAAGGATCTCGGAACTGGCCACCTCTGTCCCAAGATTCTCTGCACTGAGACACAACTGAGAACTACTACTGAGAGGTGACTGAGAGCCTCCTATTTCAGATCACCTCAAATCCTCAGGTTTTGGTGCAAAGGCCCCATGATTCCAACAAGTTCAAGTTCCAAGGGCCAAATTTCAAAGGAATCACACTCCACTGCAGCAACCAAGGAACCGGGACACTCTTGGTTTTGACTGTAAGACTTCAGTTGAGTGAGGGGTCCAGAGGAGGAGGAAGAAAGCACTCCATCCCCTGATCTTCTCCTATCTAGACCAAAATGAAAACAAGTCTGAAAATCCTGTGGCTCACCTTGTGTTGGTGTTTCCATCACCAGGTAGCCTCGAACACTACATAACCTCAAGGAGACTGCTTCCAACTCTGAGGTCACTCTCTTGACTATATTTCTGACCCATTTCCTTTCAAGTCATCTCTCATTACGATCCACGATTCAGTCAAAAGACGCTGTAAAAAGTCATTGCCTGTATGATTCTGTCTATAAATCCCACACGATTCTTGTAAGGAGATTATCCTTGCAATTTGACAAATGTCTCAGCTGACCTCAGTTCAATGGAGGAACGGCATGGCTCTCAACAATTCAGGAAAGCTTTATTTGGTATTGCAAGGCAACATTACTTTCAGTTAGTCCTTGTTGGCATCAAACTTAGAAATAAGGAGTTCTTTTTCCTCACCTCGCTCAGGGCTATGCGGTACAGCAAACCACAGTGGACTCAACAACAAAATACAAAGGACAAGTATTTCTCTTTTCCATTTGTTTGAAAGGGGAAAAGAAGAGGGACAGAAAAGTCAAGAATGAGATGATCAGCTGTGAATTGTAGAGATCAAGACAAAAGGTGCAGATTTAAAAATGAAAAGGAATTTTGCTAACCATTTTTCCACCCAGATTTCTCTGGATTTTCCTTCTTCTAAGCCAGTATAGTTATGTATTCTATAGCAGGATTCTGAAAGTCAAGGAAGGAAGAGACAAAGGGAAACAATGTTTGGATTTTGCAAAGGCTAGCCTTCCTGTTGGCTGTATGGGCTAGAATACAGCCCAAGGCTTTTGTCAAGTCAAGTCTTGGGAATTATTTCCTCTTTGTTTAAATTTTACTAAGGGACCACAGTGTGCAAAATGATTTGCTTCTCTTCTGCTCTGCAAGTACTAGACTACACCTTTGCCTCTAGAAATGTGTGAGGCATTGCAAGTGTTAATAGCATTCCCTTGTTTCCTCCCTGACAACCCTCAGACAGGTAGTGGCAACAGGGCTAGGCAGACAAGGGAATGAAAATGAAACAAAACAAAACCTGTAGACAATAGATTCCGCTATTAGTTCTCTGTGATAGTCCTCTGAGTTTGAATTTAGACCTCACTGTCTGGTTAGGCATGTCTTTGTGCCCCTCTGGGCTTCACATGTAACATGGCAAGAATAATAATTCCAAAATTAATGAGCTAATAGATGAAAGACATAGAGGAAGTAGCAGGGAAGAACTGTTCTATTTGTGAAAGAAAGTAATACAGAGTCAGGTCTGCCTATGATGCCCAGCTCCGGGGACCCATGAGCACTTTGTTCTATGGAAATGGTACTCCCGGTGTGTAGCAGGAATACTCTGGGGCAGGGTGATGAAGAGCAGGACCACTTCTCAGCTGTGTGAATCTCAGCAAACAACTTTGCCCTTCTGTAGCTCCACTTCCTCATTTATAGAATGATTATACCAAAATTCTTGCACAGATTAAGTAGAGATATTTTTWAAAAATGCCCCAAAGATGTCTGATAGTGTGGTTCTTATTAGGTTCTCCTCCTGGGCTCTGGCCTGAACTCCTGGTACCCTTTGCCTCTGGGGCAGGATGATACCCAGCACTTGCCCCTGATGCCAGCCTGGTCCTCTTGTACCTGCCTGGGTCCCTAGTTTCAGCCATCAGAGCTGAGACCAGCACCCTGCCTCCTGCTGCCCTACTTAACTTCATGCCAGCTCCTTCCGGCTGCCTCCCAGCTTCATCTGGCCAGGCCGACTGCTCCTTATGCTAATGCTGGCATGCCTGCCCAGGCCTCCTCTGTCTCTGGACAACACCCTCCCCACAGCTCTTTGCATCTTTCCACCCTGCCTTGATGCTGAATCTCACACTGGCCTCTGCAATCACCTA